ACCCTCCTATTACATTTATACTAATATTCTCCCAATTTATTCCCCATACTGCCCCTAATAACCAACTGAATTGGAACACTCTAGAATAGGACTTAACAAGCATGAATGGATACTTGGGGGCCTATCATTACCCGCCGCCCAAAAATCCACCTTGTCCTCAAGGTGGAGGTGGAGTTCACTTCATCATGCACCCACACCATTTCCTTTGCAATGCCCGTCATGACCTGAACAGAAAATGGATATTTCAATTCAAAAAAGCTGGTAGATCCATTAACTACAAGTAGTATCTTGTCAATTAAAATGCCATTACCCGTCGCACCCCATTGCCGTTTTTCCAAAACATGAACCCGGCTAATCGAAATACAATGGTGAGCAGCCCTACCACCGACCAAAACGTGGACCTCTTGTCGTGTAATCCGCCCTTTTATAGTCTTTTGCGCTGTTAATCCAAACCTCGCATTAATAATAAATCCCAGCTTATCCCCATTCTCTTCATTGTTGTCGACGCTAAAATTTTTTGCACCTTTACCACCCTCAACCCAACCCAATCAGACCACCTTCCCTGTTTGGTAACTTTTTATTTTCGATTGCACATAGCATGGGCTTGAAGATGAAATTTGATAGGGTCTGGAATTATAATTAGTTGTTGGGCCATTCACTTTATTTAGGCCCAATCTTCCTTGTTCTCGATTAAGTGAAAGTTGTATTCTATTTGTTGGGCCACCTTCTTGCCCATCCACTCTAGCAATTTCCCTTTCCACTTCTCGTGATTCAGCACATTCCCATGTACCCTCTCCACAACATGTTCCAATCTCTTCTCATCCTCCGGCGGTGGTGATGGTAAGATTTCAACTGATTTCCAGTCGTCGATGGTTACCTCAGGTCGATTTCGGGTGACTCTATTTACCCAGATTTCATTCGATTGAGATGGTAATTCAAATGCGTAGGTGGTTTCCGGCAAAGTAACGGCCAGTCCATTCCCTTCCACGGCGCACTTCAACTTTTCCTCCTTCGGTGATGGCAACAGAGAAACCTCTTTCTCATGGAGTTTTAACGTAATTTGAGAGATAATGGTGGAATCTGGTTGAGTGGCGGCAACACCTTTCTCCTTCCATTTTCGTTCCTGTCGTTCCGATTCCTACACCATCATCTCGCTCTTCTCCATCGGAATCTCCGAATTCCATCGGTATTTGCCAGAAAATTCGCCTTCCTGTGATGGTCGAATTGGGACCTCCTTTTCCTTCTTGTCCGGCTCCTCCTGGCTGTGCGCGATGCGGCTATTTACTCCTACTTCCTCCAATTTGGGGGAATTTTTGGAAGTGATGGTGTTGATTGGGTTTGTTTGATGTGGTGCCTGGTCAGTTGGGTTACGTGTGTGGGCAGGGAAATTGGGGATTTTTGGGCTGGGTTGTCTGTATAATTTTGGATCTATATGGGCCTAAGTTTAAATGGGCCTGCTTCACTAATTCATT